GTGTGTGTGTGCGCAGGCCTTGAAGGGGCCTCTCTTGTTCCCAGTGGCTGAATCCATCCCATAGTTACTCAAGCATATCACTAGCAGAGAATAGAGGATTGCTCCCCACACGTTCTCCAATTGCAGTCCAATAGACGGCATATTAACCTCTGGTTAGCACGGGGCCAAGTTTATAGCTTATACTGTGGGATGTTTAGGAGGGGAGGGGAGGGGGGGTGGGCGAGCCTTCCTACGGCTTGAACAGCTGTGCTTTCTTGAACACTTAAACTAGCATGAACTTAAGTGGGCTGCAGAGGATTTAGCCTAATGGATATTTGCAAAGACAGAAAGAGGAGTTATGGGCTCAAATAAATATTAATTTTCCCACTTGTTTTAGCTTTCTATGTATGCATGAACAGCTTCACAGGGAGAAGAGACGCGGCCAGGCGCAGAAAGGCTAACATGTTGTGAGGAGTGACAGCTTGTTCCAGTGCCCACTAATCGTCCTCATCTGTGCCTGACTTGTCAGTGCCCAGATTCTGTCAGTGCCAATCAGCCAATTAATTGAACACAATTAGCACCCCCCCCCCCCCCCCACCCCCCACCCCACATACACACCATATTCTTCAAAGGCCCATTTCTCTTCCTTCGCACCAACCCCCTCCCTATTCTACCTCTCATTCTGCTTCTGTCTCTTCATCCTATGGTGCTGGTGGAAGACACTTTTCAGTTTTTATTAATGTGCCGCAGCCAATTAACGCAGTGGCACGCAGGCCAGAGCCCGTCATCTGCTGCCTGCCACCATCCCGGCTGTCTGCTGCGGCCCACGCCACCCCTTGCGCCACCTCCACCGTGACCAAAACGCTTTAATTCAATTTATGCAATCACTGTTATTTTTAAATAGTCATTTTGTCTGCTCAGATGAGGGGCCTTACTGCCCGCTGGGCCAGCCCTCTCATGTGAGGGATGGGGGAAGGGTGGGACGTTGTGGTAGCAGGAGTCGGCTGACTTGGGGTGGAGGGCTCCCTGATATTTTAATTTGTTATTTACTCCTTCAGTTTGGGTCCGTTTAAGGTTATCAGATGTATGATTCATATTTTTTTTTAATCAGGATTTGACAGCAATTAAAATGTTATTTAGCTATCAAAGAAAATATCTATTGATATATGTTTATATTTCTTATCAATTATATTTATATACATTTTGTCTTTTTATTATTATTTGTATTATTACTTTTATTATTATTTTATTTGTATTATGATTTGTATTAGTTTATACTTTATAAATATATCTTTTTTTTTCTTTTTCCTGTATAATATTTTGTCTGTTCTCAATGTCAGAGACTGGATCAGTGTGACTCCTGGGTCACAGAATAAACATTATATTCCCTTCCTGTAATCACACCCTCAGGACTGGCCTTCAAATATTGATCTGAAATTCAGTGTCATCACTGTGGATCTTTAATCACTCTCTGCTGAAGCGAGTATCAGCCCGGCAGATCTGCTAAGGTGCAAGATGCTATTCTGCACCGCTCAGATAACTTACAGACATGTGGAGTGCTCATTTTCCCCTGTCTGCCCCGGTGACCTCTGCCTAACTTAAAGGTACATCTTGGGGGCATTTGATTTGGGCAGAACAGGGTGCTATCGGTGACAGAGGAACTAATCCAGTCTTGTGCAGATTAAGAGTATTTGTGGAGTGGGGTGTGTTGGCGCTGGCGCTGGGAATGGAACAGAGGGGCTCCTATCAGCTCTCCAGGCAGGCTAGCCCTCAGGCCAGCGCAGTCCTACAGGAGTCTTTGTACTTCCCAAAGCCTCCACTCTCCTCTCACTCACTCTGTATCACTTCTCTTCCCTCCTTGCCCCCTCGCCCTCTTTCTATAGGCTGTCATATATTCCCTGCTCCGTTTCCGCTCTTTACATTTATGAATTTGTGTTGTTTTGCTCCAATGTGAGAGTTTTTTTAGGGGCTTTAATGATAAAAAAATCTGTTGTAAAATCATTTTTCCTAGTCACAGAACTTGAGGCAAATTACGTTTGTTCTGTTAATTATAAAATCATAAATGCCATGCTTTTAAATATTGCAACTTAATTGTCGAAAGTGAAAAAACACAAATAACTTACATAAGAGTGTTGCTAACTTTTACCCCTTTGCTTTGTTTATATATTTTTTGTATCGCTCTTAGCTCTGTCTCTGTCACATTGTTTTATTCTGGAGAGAAATCCAACAAAGAACATCTCGTCGAACATTCACGCAGACAAAAAAAATGTAATTTGGCTGTTGAAGAAATTAGGGAGGTATGAAAGGGCCTCTTTTTGTGTTTCAAGTGCACTATTTATTTATCTGAAAGGATGCACATTGTATCAATTTACACTCCCCCATTCACTTCGCCACAGGCTGGAGGGCTCAGAAGTTGAGAGAATTAATTACTTTTTTATTATTATTTATAAAGTAATCTATCTGTTGAGAGGGAGCAGAAAAAAGGAGAAGGAGAAGGCGAGAGGAGGGGGTGAGAGAGGCAGGGAACGCCCTGGAGCATTGTCCTTTAAACTAGGTCCTGGCTCACATTATCTCCCAAACCAGCACTCACACAACGTCAAACAACAAACGAACTCTGGGCTGCTGAGGACGCTGTATGCAAGGAAAGAGAGGGAGGTGGGGGAGAGGAGAGGGGAGGGAGGGAAGGAGGGATAGAGAGAATCAGGGAGTAAGTCTTCTCAGCTAAAGTGTAAAGAGTAGGAAATATAATCTGGCTGTTTTTTGTTTTTTTTCCTTTAAAACGTATTTAAACTCCAGTCTTGTTTAATGCACATGTGTGTGTCCGATCGGTATACTTTACACTTGAGTGACATCTTGGTGCAGCAGATCCAATTCAGTGAAACTTAAACTTCAAATATTGCATTGATAATAACGTGGTCAATCCAAAAACTACATTACATGAATGCCTATAAAGCTGTGTTCATGTTGAAATCTAATAGAAATCATTTTATTCTTATGAGAGTAAATTCCTAGCTAAGAGTTTGCCAGCAGCTTCACTTTTTTAATTTTTTAGAGACTATAATATCCATAAAGTTTTGTTTTACAAAGCAACAGAAACATATGAAGGTATCCGGTGGCAGAGCTCATGTGACTAAGTATCATTCAACCCCTGAATGTAAAGTGAGATAACTTTATAAGGACATCAAAGTAGCAAAGCCATGCAATTAAACTGGACGCTGGCATAAAGTACTAAACCTATACCTGATGTGACGCTATTGAGAAACTGACCTCTTATTACGAGCTTATATCCTCCCCTCTAGCAAAACACAAATCATTAAGACTGTACGGGAATAGCGAGGTCCTAACAGATGACAACACTTAGACTTTAGATTGCCCGACCCATCCTTATTCTCTAAAATAGCAAAACTGCCACAATGTCAATGATAAGAAGTAATTTTCTTTTGAAGAACTTTTATGAGCATGAATAATATTCAAGCCATTTGTTGGCTATTCTATTTAATAAGGAAGCGATGTAATCAAGCTTTAATTAACCAATGACTAAAATGGACTCATGCCCTGCAGCTGTCTCTCAGGACACTTAATAAGCCCCCCCCCCCTATCCCCCCCATCACAAACCATCAGGACACATACTCCTCTCATCCTCAGAGTGTGCAGCTCTGCTCCATATGGGAGGAAGCATCACATGTGTCCAGCACGAAGAGGGCCATGAATCTCCCTCTTATGGATACATGTCACATGCTTTGTCTGCAGATGTGGAGGAGATGGGGGGTGGGGGTTTCCATACTGATAGAATTAACATGTGGAAATGACTAACCAGCCTTAATGTTTCTGATGTGCTTCGAGTGCTTCATATTTCCTGGGAGGCTTTTTCTGAAGATATGATTAATTTGCAGAATATGGTTAATTTTCCCTCTGTGGGATATTCCTGGCTTAGTGCATCATTTGTGGACTGTTTGGCTTGCACAGCCTCCATGTTTGCAGCCTATGTGTGTGCACACATGAGTCCGATCATGTGTGCATTCATGCAAACATATGTCTGCGAGTGTATCACCCCTGTGTAACCACCTCCATGATGGGCTAATTGGTTTAGCAGCAGAGGGGCCAAAGGCCAGTGCAGCATAGCAAAACTCAACATGAACCTGATGTTGAAGGGAAGGCTTCTCTGCTATAGGAGGGAAGCATGTGTGGGACAATTCTCTTTTTACCACCCGCTCTCACACACACACTCTACTTTCCTTTTTCACTTAAAGAAACTCGCAGCATAAGAAAACAAAATTCTCCACAGTGTTCTGGGCCGCTGTGCTTCAGACTAGGGTAGCACTCGAGGTAATCTCTTCCATTTTAAAAATGTTTGAGACCTTCTTCTGACGAATGTCACATGCTATTACATTAATCTAGAATATTGAATTGGAAGCTCTTATACGCTATGAATAATACACACACTGTGATGTTCAGCAAGCCTCAACCTGCAGTTTCAGCGGGCCCCTCAGTAAGGTTTGTGCAGCCTACTTTGTGTGGGGATCTGAGGGGATCATTTACCAGTTCCAACTCCATTACTATTCATGAGATGGGTAGGCTAGGGGCGAGGGATTAGGGACTCCCTTGGTGCTTGTTGTGCTGTAGGCTCGGGCTCGGGCCTCAGGCTCCAGGACAGGGGCCGTCTGGCACGGATGGTGGGTCTATTATCACCCTGGGACCCTTCTGTCCCACAACAGAACACTAACTGGCAGCGCCAGCTAATGGGAACAGTCTCTCTTGTTCCCTTTCTCATTTTTTAACCTCATCACCCTCCTTGTATCCTTCCCCCTGCTCTTTAAAAAAAAAAAAAAAGATGGCGAAGTTTTCCCTCTCCCTATTTCAAAGTTGAAAATGGGATATTTCTATTGCCATCTTTACCGTGAAGTACTAGGATGGCACTACATTTGCAGGAAAAAAAGTACTTTCCCTCAACTCTGTCAATGCTTTGATCCTCAATTTTCCAAATGTCTAACATCCTCCGTTTCCCCTTCCCCCCCCTCCAGGTGATGAGTATCCTGAGTAACCCCAGCGCTGTATCCTCCCAGTCCCAGCACGACTTTTCCATTTCCCCCCTGCACGGCAGCCTGGAAAGCTCCAACCCCATCTCTGGCAGCTGCAGCCAGCGCTCCGACAGCATCAAGGACAGCCTGGCTTCCTCCCAGTCATACTGCCCCCCCACCTACAGCGCCACCAGCTACAGCGTGGACCCCGTTACTGCAGGCTACCAGTACAGCCAGTACGGCCAGAGTAAGTACACCCCTCTTCAACATTTATATAGTCTGTGTTTGGGTTTTAGCTTTAGTTGATTGTTTGACCAGATGAGTCATTCCTCTATATCATCCTCTATGAAGAGAAGCCCAACTCCCAGGCCAGAGAGCCTACTGACCTTTGCACCCTTGTTGGTGGAGGCAGACACGTGCTCTTGATAAAGACCACCCCACCCCCCCAACCCCTCCTCCACCACCACCACCATCCTCCTAGAGAGTTGCCTTAGTCACACCCCACTCCACTTGGATGGGAAAGAGGAAAGGGCCACTTCAAAGAACGGCACACCCTCAGGGGCCACAGTGTCCTCTTGCCCACCTCTCTCCCTCTCTTCTCCATCACACACACACACACACACCCTCAGGGCAGGAAAGAGTTTGCTTTATTAGATTAGCATAATTGACTGATGCTGTCACAGCCATTCATAAGAGCTAAAATGAAGCACACTTCCCCAACAAGCCAGCCGGCGATCCGACATTTGTTTGTATTTATATGCAGCTTCTAGTAGTGACGTGCTGCATTGTTCATCTTGTTTGATGTTGTTTGTGTTGCGGTGCGTGAATGCATGTGAGTGTGTGCCAGTCCGTCACGTTGTGTGTGTGTGCGCCCCAGTGTTTTGTCAGCCAGCAGAAACTGATGGCAGTGCGGATGTGAGCTGATGTGAGGTTAATTAAGATGGTGATTGAGCACAGTAGATGGGTAATGAATGGAGGAGAGAGGAGAGAGCTGCTGTCTGAGGATGAAAATGAGCGGCCATGTGGAGTGTGGAGGGCATGAAATCAGAGATGCCAAGAGTAATGAAGACTGGCACACAGAACACACACAGGGACCCGTCTGAGTGACAGCATGGAGACTTTACCAGGATGCACATGCTCTGTGCCAGCAGCGTGCCAACCTCAGACAAGGGACATGGGAGGGGTTTTTATCTTTCACTCTCTCTCTGTGAATTGTTTTTCGTTTGACTCACTCCCTTCTGCCACAACTTATTTCAGCCTTAATCAGAGGAATGAAATGAGAGTGAAAGGACTTTATGTCAGGATTCTACCACCTGTTTGACGTGTGATTTTCCTTTCTTTTTGTTTCTGTGCAGCTGCTGTGGACTACCTGGCCAAGAACGTGAGCTTGTCCACCCAGAGGAGGATGAAACTTGGAGACCACTCGGCCGTGCTCGGACTGCTGCAGGTGGAGACAGGACAGGCCTACTAAACCCTCCCTGGGACGCAACCTGCGCCACTCTCCTCCGCCCTCTGCCACCCTCCTCCATGCTCCATCCAGTCTGGACTCCAGCTCGCCTCTTTGGTGCTCGCTCCGCAGCCTGGCCATGACATCAGAGCACAGACAAATTGACGCTTGCGGGTGTGACAATGCACTCCGGGGAATGGAAGTAAACTTTTCACACCATTGTCAACCACCAGGCGGCTCTGAACCCTCTCTTCTAAATATTTGGGCATCTCTGCCTGCTCCTTGTACTCCTCCCCCAGCCCCATACTCTGTTTTGATTTGGTCCCATACAGGACCCCTGAACACCCGAGGATGGTCGGGTTCCTGTTTGTCAGGGCTGCAGTCCAGCACACATTTAGAGCCATCAACAACATGTACTTTGCCCTTGCTGTTCATAGTAGTTAACAAAGCCAATATCATTTGAACGACTCTTATTCTTGTTCCTTTTTGATATTGTTAAGATTATTGTTGCTGTTATATGATTATGGTTAATGTGATTTATGTTGTTCTTTGATTCCATTCGTATCTCTTTTCTCTGTTAGATGTTGGTGTGTAAAACACAGTGTGGATGACTGAGATGATTTGGGAGTAAGTGTCTGTGGCGTGTGCATGTTTTGTGTGCCGGCACAGTCACACAAAGAGAGGATGATTGTTTTCCAAGCTGCAGTTCCTCTGCCTGCTCCCTGAGCTCTAATGTTCATGAGCGATTTGACCTTCCCTCTTTCATATTCATCTTGACATTCCTAAAGAACTTGGCCACTCTGTGGGAAGTCTGGCTGGATGGATTCTGCAGGGAATTAAAGCAGCGTTTTGGCGGCCAATAGCTTTCCCCTTCTAACCTCCATCCCATCCTTAGCTGCAGTCCATGGGGAGGGGGGGGCATTGTTTGCAAAAACAGGATTGGGGAAATTAATGTATTTTGTTTAGAAATATGGACCTTGCCAAGGAGGGCTAACTCAATTCCCCCCCCCCCCCCCCCCTTCTCTCCTCCTTCCAAATCCCATCTGCCAGGGAACCCTGTGTGACTTTAACAGTGTAAAGCAGATTAAATCACACAGAAATAATGTCAAAGCTAATTCACAGTGACCCTCCAAATGACTAGCCAGTAGTTCTGTGTTTACAGCGTAATTAGCTAATTGTGTAAATGCACCTTCGGCTGGTTTCCGCTCTCAGACTAAACAAGCATTCCTTCTCAACATTCCACCGGAACGTTCCACGAACAAACTGCCGACATTCCAACGCTCTCTGTTGTGAGATTAAAAAGTTCACACGCTGTGCCATTCACATGCACTCTGGAAAAATCATCTAATTAAGTCAGTAACGAAAGGGCACAGGTAACCGCAATGTTTGGCCCTCCTCTCTGGTTTGGACCAGAGCCCCCCTCTAATCTTACTCATTGAAATGTAAAAAAGAAAACAATTAAAGAATAGTGGATATGAGACATTTGTGTAGCACTCATAGTTGACTTTTGACACTATCCAAGACCAGCTGTTCCCTTTTGAGATGTGTGTGATATTTTCTCTGGCATCAGTGTGATGATGATGTGTTGTCCACCTTATCTCAAGACAGGATTTGGTCCTCAGTCGCCTTTAAAAACTGAAAACTGTACAGTAGCTCGAGCAGATTGTGTATCGTTTGTTTATAAAGAGTATGTTTTATACTAAAACACAACTATGTTGAGTGGTAGGTAAGCAAGGGATCTGTGGAAGTAAATGTTTGATTTGAGTTTCCTTAACTGGCTTGTTTTCCGTTGTTGTTTTTTTAACTGTATTTAATCGGTTTACCAGTTTTTACCAAAAGCTTTGTTCTTGTTTTTGGGCCCAGGTAGGAATGAATTTGTATAAATTAGTCAAATATCAATTCCATTAAAATGTTCCAATTAAAATTGTACAAAGAGGATCAAACTGAGCTCAATGGAAAGTGAAAGTTAACACAGGACCACGGAGGACTGTTGTATATTTGAAAGATGGCCGGAGAAACCATCTTCATGTGTCAAAGCATTTTGAGGATCTCACAGACTGATTATTAGTGCAGATCAACCTCGACTGGACCGTGGATCTGACACTCCTGAACCCCGAGACTCGGTCCAGGATGGTGATGATGAAGCTGGTGAACACGGCTTCTCTGCTCTGGGAAACTCTATAGAGTCTCATTGGATCTGTGGACCAATAAGACTTCAGGAGAAGAAGTCAAAGACTCAGCACTGAATGGCTGCAGCTCAAACTGCTCCGCCTCACTCGTGTATATTTTAAAAAGGAAGAATTTTAGAATCGTCTTTAGTGTATCAAACCCATTTCTAACACTTGCGTCAATAAACATTTGGATATTTAAAGCATACGAGTCCTTATCCCCCCTCCAGTCTGTTCGACCCCTAACCTGTTTAGTTGCTTTCTGACATCTGTGCTTTGCTTTACTCCTTTTTCTGTTCCGCATGTGTGTATATTATCATGGTATAATTTATTCTGCTGTATGAAGTATTAGAGTAGTGGGAAACTTGTACTGGTATTTACTACCTTCAGCCTGTTGGTGTGTTTACTGTAACACTGGCGTAACTGTTATCAATTAAAGATCCAAAAATGATATTGCAGTGTGTCTCTTTTGTCATTGTATGTTATTGTTTTCCATCTCAACAACATGAAAATACTTTCTCTCTCTCTGTCTTGCTTTTTTGAAGATTTTCTGGTTGCAAAATAAAACAAACAAGCAAAAACAAGTAAGCAAAATAAAAAATAGTTGGGCAGGTAAGATTCAAAACAACTTTTAAAAAGCGCATATAGTGTTCCTCAACCAATAGCTTTACTTTAATTTTCTCAAACAACCATTCATCATTTAAATTCACACTTGGCTGAGGAACTAAGGAAGTTCAGCATCGTATTTGAATGTATTGGATGAGTGGTTATCGAGAAAACTGCAATACCAGAGGCCAAGAAATCGGACAAACCGGCACTACACAAGCGTCATTATAACATAACATTTTTATGAAAGATATTTTTCTATGTGGAGGGTTTAAAGCGATATATAAACTAATGTATAACAAAGAATTCATCTAAAAAAATATTTATAATTGATAGATCTTTTAGGCCATTTTCTAAGCAAAAAGGATGGAAATCCTCTGCTTTCAACTCATCAAATGTAAGAATGTGTTAAATATCTTTAAGTAAATGCAGTGGGAAGGCATCACCTTATGCTCCTTAATTATTCTTTTCATTTATTAGAGTAAAAATGTAACTGTAATAATGCAAATAGCTGCTGGTTGCAGCCCTAGTGTAAAATAAATGAATGCACCTGTTCTTATATGCATATACAAATATATCTGTGTGTCTGTGTGTGTCCTCTGTGTGTGTTCAAGTACATTTGCGGAGCCGGCAGGCCACCACTGCACTGTTCCAGCGCTGGTGATGTGATTAGGGAGTGATGAGAGCTCAGACGTCCCACACTCAGAGACACAGACAGAGAGCGTGTCTAGCTGCAGCTGCAGGAAGTCATTCATTGTGCCCACTGACCAGCAGCGCTCTGCACTCTGCCGCTGACCGGGGAATGTTGTCTGCAAATCTCTGTGGTATGGTGTGAATGCAGGGGAACTAACCGGTGTGTTGTAGAGGCATCCGCTGTGTTTTTTTATTACAGTGGAGCTCATTCAGTTTTTACCATCAGCACTGCTGGAGGTATGTGAAACACGCCTTAGGTATGTTCATTCAATCCTGACTGATTTCAAACACACTTCAAACATGTAAGATATGTCTGCTGTCACTGCAGCTATAATATGTCTTTGCATAATCCAGTGTGAATTATATCAGACAGCAAATAATGCCATGTTGCACTGTAAGAGAGGTATTTACATTTGATATAGCAAATAATTATACTTAACTGTCCATTTGCAATTTAATGAAACAAATTAAATGCAGTACTAATCACAAGTCATCATTAACATCAATTTGTATTAGGAGAAACATTTGTTGCTAAATAAACTAAGGACTCATCTAACAAGATTTATTTAGCCTATATTATTATGAGGTAACTATCATTCATATTTCAAACGTTGTTAAATGTCTGAACATTTTTAAAAGCTCATTGAGTATAAATAGACGCAGTTTAATTAGTTTTCCCTTTAGATTTACAGATTCAAATTAGCTTCAAACTGCAGTGCACCGCATTATATCATCAGGGCTCAGATCAATTTGATTCCAGTGGAAATTCTCTTCAGTGTCTAATTACACAACACACATTTAAAACACCTGAAAAAAGACGCGGCTCTGGAGGAGAATGTCAAAAAGGCAGGAATATGGTCAGTAACTACAATTTAATTTTTTTGTGGGATAGGATTCCAGTGGATCCTCTAGACTTTTTTTAATGCATTGTTCAATATTCTCTATGACTGCTGTGTGTCATCCCTCATATATGCCTCTAAAAGTTTGTGTTCTGGTTGTCCAGATTAGACCTTGGCCTGTGCTATGGTTGTCCCCTTTGCTCCAGCTTGTCTCCTGAGGTGTCGGCCTGAGAGTTTTGTCTCCCTCCTCGGTCTGCTGTCACTCAGACTGGACGAAGTGGCAGCTCAGGCAGTGGTGTGTGGGAGAGCTTTGTGACACTTCCCTCATCTCCTCCTTTGATCCCCTAATTGATTGACTACAGGAGCAGAGGATAAACAGAGCCCACAAGAGCCGATTCCACTCGCCCCTCTGGAGTGGTTTAGATAAAGTGCAGAGGCCCGAGCTCTCCGTTCCTCCTCTCCCCTCTCTATATGGACATACGGCCATTGAAGGTGGCTCTGCGCCACGGTAGCTTAGCCGTGGGCTGTGTCCTCAGGCCCGGGGCTTGCGTACTGCCCCTGTGCATAAATGGCTGGCAGTAATGGGTTTGTTTAGATCACAGGGATGGAAATGAAACTCCTGAGCCTCGCCGTACAGTCCAGGAGGCCCTATCGTTCAGGAGGCAGCGATAGAGAAGTCACAGCCTCAGCCTGGTCATACTCACTTTGGAATTGAGCCATGGAATAGAGGCTCTGATTCAGATCTAATTTAGAACCAGGCTCCTGAACCTGGCCATGCTGTGATAAATAAACCTGCTGCTGAAGATTCAGAAAAGCCATGAAGAAGAAGACGGTAGAACAGAAACAACCAGTGAGGGACTCCAGTAAAGAAAAACAGGCCAAAAAATGACTCAATTTTAAAGGAAAGAAATGTGGTTGAAAACATGACTTTAGAATGATTTAAAACAGATATGATAATTATATTCTAATTTTACAAATCTGTCTTCAGAAAGAGAGTTCAGAGCCGTGTGCAGGTATGCTAAGAAATGATTAAGAGATGCTCTGGGGGTCTTGGTTTTATTCTTTGAGATTATGTGTCACAGGGAGTAAAAAGCTCCCAGCTGTCGCCATGAAAGCACTTACAGTATAATAATCCCCCAAATCCTGTAATTATGCCAGCATACGCTGTGTACCTGAGCCTCAGCTTTGTGCTCGTCACCTCAAGGATCCCACTGACACAGACACAGACGCACAGCTTGGTGTGCATATATCTCCTACTCAACTGTGTGTTTTGCATAGGGAGAGAATCTTATTTTCAGAACATAGTGTTTGAAATGTCATGGTTATCCATCTCAGGTATTACAGATAGACAATCTGTCATGTATAAGTAAAATGCAGGAGCTCAAATAGGGTATTGTCATAGCTTAAAGTCACCTTATTTACCAGAAACTTCAAATGAAATATTGCACCCATATGGCATTTTTTGAGTTTATATTTTAAATATGAGTTATAGCGATATATATTGCTAAATATTGCAAATACAAGTATGATGCATTCCTGCACAAATACACACACACACACACACACACACACACACACACACACACACACACGCACACACACAC